ATGAATGGTGGGAAGAGAGAGAGAGAGACAGAGAATGGAAGAAAGAGCGAGGAGGCGAGGAGACAAGAAAGCGAGAGTGCGAGTGAGAGGGGAAAAAATGGGGACGGGAGGGAGAGGGGAAGGAACGTTTCCTCCTCGTCACTCCCCCCTAGAATTCAATCACACCGTGTTTACAGCTCAGTACACTTAATCCTCTTTATTGGATTCAAAGCGTTTGCCGGTACACCGTATCTCAGAATTTGATCAATTTTATGGGCAAAGGATCTCGATGATACTTGCGGCCCGTCACCCCCACCATCTGTCTATTGACCTTCGATGAAATTATACCGTGATCGCGAGGTGGCAGTTATTAACCGGAATCCTTGCTTCTTGACCTATCCGGCCCGGTTTAATCCTACCAACAGCGCGCGACTCGAAATAGCTAAAAGGCTTGTTCACTTCCAACACTTTTAACCGAATGGACTTTTAATTGAGCCGAGTTAGATCGAGAAGGTATATTTGGACAGTGAGATAATTAATTGAACTTCTTTCCGATTCTTAACATTTCTTTTCTTGGTAACGGAACTCGGTAGAAAATTGGGTAGAACTTGATAATAAAAAAAGGAAACTTGAAAAATAATGGGGAAAATCACTCGTTTATCGAGTGATTACTTTTTTCTTTCTTTTTTCTTTTTCCTTCCTTTTTCTCTATCACCTTCTATACGAAACATTTATTATTCGATCCGTATTTAATTCTTTTTTTTCTTTTTTTTTCTTTTTCGAAATGTATTACATTTGAAAAAAAAATTTATCCGTATAGAATTTAATTGATACAGCGAATTTTATGAAGAGAGCTCGATAAAACGTTCGATGAAAATGTTTGAAATATCGGCATATTGTTCGGTATAACTTTCCTTTTTCTCGTGGAAATAGGTAATAGCTGATTCGAAACCGATAACGAAAACGAAAAGTTAAATCTGTATGAAATATTCGATGATGGATTTGATAACGTCGTTTCTATATATATAATTAAAACTTGCAAAGGGTGAAGTGAAATCGTAAACAAGATTACACGATTGTCCAAACATTTGAACAAATGATGTTTATCATCACTTTTCGACTTTTGGCTGAATTTGCTTTGCGCTTCTCTACCCACATGTAGGCTTTATACGACGATAATTCTATCGTTTGTTCACGAATTATGCGACGAGTTTCCACGAATTGTGAGTACAAATAAACGATAAAAAAAAAAAAAAACGGATGGAAAATTTACAATGGGATATAATTGAAAAAAATTTTTTTTTTTAAGACTTCGATATTTTCGACACGCGATGTTCTCTGCGTTCTCTATATATCATATTGAATTCGTGAAATTACGCATATTTTATCATTCTAAATTTATCATATAAATCCATTTTAAAATAATGTTATTCGGAATAAATATTGTTGTTGAAATATTAAAATATTTGATTTACACGAATGTAATGATTGAAAGTGATCGAACGAACGTTGCCGTGTTGATACATTTTTTACATTAGAAGCGGAGACGAAATGATTGAAAAGCGGAAAATACAATGATGAAAAAAATAAACGAAAAAAAAAAAAAAAGAAAAACGAGTACGCAAATTTATATTGTAAAAATTTATAATTTTTCCCCGATATAATATTCTCGAATTATCGCGAGAACGTTAATCGTTGCTTTAGCTCCGCGTAATCGCGCTAATAAAAAAAAAAAAACGTCTAATTAAAAAACTCTCTCCTCCCCTTAAAAATATAAATATTTACAAATTAAACTTTTATCCACTCTATCTATCCCTCCCTCTTGAATTATATTTCACCGTTTCATCCGAAAATTTAGAACGCTCGCGTACAATCTTACAACTCTCTTCTGTACGATTGAAACTAAAAAATTTGCTGCATCCCACTTTATGCATCGTTTCTCGCGATATTACATTCTTTTTACCTCTCGTGCGGATACGTGGATTCTATATACGATCACAGCAATAAATAGTAAGCGCTTTTAAACGTCTTTTAACCGTGTCTTTAAAATATGTACCGACTTTAAAAATCTTCTTATTCCAAATGTATCGTCCGCGATTCATGGCGTGGATTTTTATTCATCGATTTCCCTCCCTTAACGAACAAAGTTAAGTAAAGCACGCGTACGTATATTTTTAAATATAACAAATATATATCTAATTAAAATTTTTAACAATTTATCTTTCCCTTTGCCATCTTTCAACAGATATTTCATTTGCTTTAATTTTATTTTTGACAGTCGAGCGACATAATTTTTTTTTTTTTTTTTTTTTTTAATATTCGAAAATAAACGAAATCCTTCGTATCCCGTTATTCTATTCTATTCACGCGTGTATCTATATATATTATTTAAATATATTTAAAATTCAAATTCGTTTTCCGCTCACATCATAGGAATTAGAAAATAAAAAAAAGCATAAAAAAAATAGAATGTTCGTCAAAATTCGTTGATATCTGTTGTTCGAAAAAAAAAAATAATAATAAAAAATAATAATAATAATAAAGTATTTCACACTATTCGAATTAATTCTAAAGAATTTTTGAGAGAAATTCTATTTGAGACGACCATGTAACCACCGACGCTCAACCATAGATAGTAATTAATCCAGCTGGTAATTATAAAAGGCCATGTGTTTCGTCCGCGTAATAAATGTGTGTTCGATCAAACACTGATCCTGAACAAACAAATTGGTTTTCCGACCTCGCTTCGAGTCCATTCACGTCAAGTAATTTTCAATCATACGAAACAAATCCGCGTTACCATCGCCGGTAAATCGCGAAAATTCATTTCCGAATTCTTTCCTTCTCTCTCTTCTACCCTTCCCTAATCATAATTTTCTCTTTTCATTCTTTTTCTTCCATCCACTTTAACCACTTTAACTACTTTATACTCAAAAATTTTTAAATTATCATTTCGATTTCCGATTCTTTTCGTTCAAATTTTCAAATTGAAATATTGAAAATTTTTTTCTCCTCTAAAAATGGCTAAAAGTGTGATTGATAGAAACTACTTAATAATTACGGCAACGATATCACGTTCTCGAGTTTGGAATATCTCTAATCCGAAAACCGAGAAAAGTATTGCGGGAATAGAGAGTATCGTCTTTTTTTAAACGTAAAAAAATAAACGAGATGATTCAGACTCCAAGAGCTACTCCAAGACACGTCGAAAGACGAAAGGAAACGTGGAACGCAAACGCACACGCGGAGGAGACAAACACGATGGATGACACAAGGGATCTTTATCTCGCCGATAATTTTTACGAATTTCGCGTTTGGTTGAAGCGGTTTTGTCGGCGGAAACGCGACACGTACAAATTGACCTGCTCGATGTTTCGACATTATACCGCCACGTGGTTTCGTATTTTATCCGATGTAACCGAACCGAGTGTCTATGTGACACGGCAATATTTGCGAAATCGCGACTTTACCTGTATGCAAACGTATCTGTCAAACTTTCCAATGTATTGTATAGGGGAGGATCCGGAACAATGGACGTCGCGAACCGTATAAAATTTCAAACGAATCGAAGTTTTACGGTTTATACCGAGTTTCCCAGCCATCTCGTCGGGGAAGGAAAGGATCGTTCACGATCGATAAAATAAAAATCAGCGATACGCGCGATTCTTCTTATTGCCTCGTCTTTTTTTTTTTTTTTTTCTTTTTTCCTTCTTCTGCCCGATTCGTACGTGTTACGAAAATATATACTCTCGACGCGATACACTTCTCGCTTTTCTTACGAGTTTAAAATAATATCGAAAATAATTTATCTCTCTCTCTCTTTCTCTCTCTCTCTCTCTTTCGTTAAAATAAAACTGCGATACGAACGATATCGAAATGTCGAATTAGTCGGAATTTTGATTCGTATTTGGCGAACGTACGCGTTACGAAGGTGAGCAAGATTGTGCATCCCGATTGCGCGGGCCAGATTAAGATTCAATTTTGTAGATAATTGAGAAATACGTGGCATCATCAAGATTGAAACGCGTGTACTCTGTCTCGCGCTCTCTATCGCGAGGAGGGAAAAAATTGGAGTATAATTTTTACACTGAGGCAAAAGAGAAAGAGAGAGAGAGAGAGAGAGAGAGAGAGAGAGAGGAAGAGACACGGAAAAACGAATTTATGGAAGGATTTTTTTTGCCCTCCTCTTTTATCCCGCCTATTTGCCAAGCAATTTCTGTTCTCGGAACTCGGATTTCCGGATAATGTTTATTTTGTTTTGAAACGAACGGTCGGAGAAAACTATAAACGATATTAATCCATTAAACGTTGATTAGACGCGCAATATACGTCCGTGGTAAATAAAGTTGCGAGAAAAGAAATGTAAACAAATGTATTTGCGTTGCGAATCGTAAATGCGAAATATTTTTAAAATATCTAAAAATCTGTATAAAGGATATGAGAATCGAAGAAGAATTGCGTATTTTCTACTTTTCACGGAATAATAATCTAAACTGCAAAAATTGTAGAATTAATTGTATATTCTTTTTATACTTTTCAACGGAAAAATTTGTATTTATATCTTTGGATTCGCGTTTCGCGTTAAATTATTCGAAAGTTTTCACTAACGAAAAAAATCGAAAAGTTATCCCGTTTTTCCTCTGTTAAAAAAAGAGCGCTAATACGGCCGTAAATATAACGCGAAATGTATCGAACTTGCGATTAAAAAGTAATACGCGTACACTGTTTAAAAAAAAAAAAAAAAAAAACAAAATTCGAAGCAAAAATCGCGGATAAAAACAAGCGTAAATCGCACATTTATTGCGATTGTTTTCACCTCAACGATTCAACAGTTTGTTAAACGACGAGATTACACGATTTCGAGCGCGATTAATCAATTTTCGATCAATCCACAACACTCGATATATTTTATCTTTATACAAATCAAAAAATTAAAATATCTACGAAGATCATTTACTCCGTTACACCGTTCAAATATTTACCAACACCGTTTTTATCGCTATATATTAACTTGTACTCACCGACTAATTCCGGCCGCACGCCAACTAACAACGTAGTCACTACCAGAAGAGGCACCTGTCGTTTACCCGTGCACATACCACGTTTCTCACACATGATACACTTACGCGGGAAGAAACACGCGCGAACGAACGCGCCGCTTGTCGCGTACAGACTGAACTTCCGAGTTCGTGCTCCGTATATCGTAAACGCACGAGGATCCCCCACTCCTCGACCGGCGCTCGAGCCGGAGTCGAGCAAAGGACGAGGGGCGACGCTCATCCCCACTCCGCTTACTCGCGATTCCTTCTTTTCCGCCCAAGAAACCGCTGTCAATCGGCCCTTGTCCTTTTGTTTACACGTCGCTTTTTTTCCAAATCACGCTTTTTAATCGTTTTACGCCCGTTTACACCTATTGAACCGAGGATTCAGAGGTGAGATGAGAGTGAATCAGATGCGGTAATTTTAACCGATTTTATGGCATTTTTTGGAATTTTTTAACGTTTAAGCAAAAAATTTCGTTCGTGTGAATTATTATGACGATGGAATTTTTGTTCTTTCTTGGAGAAAAATGTACGAAATAAGCGTACAATTTAGAAATTTTGTTCGACGAAAAATTTAATTTGTGTAAATTATTAATTGTAGGAATAATTTATATATATATATTTTTTTTAAATATACGAAATTTATAATATTTTTCATTTCAATTTGAACGGTAAAATGCTTGATTATTATTACAACATTTGATGAATCTATTCCTCTCTCTTGTATTCGTGTAACAAAGAATCATTATTGTTGTTGTTATGCTTTAAATGTAGACAGTAATTAAAATGTTATCGGATTAGTGCATCGTTATTATAGTATTTTGATGATACTAATAATACATAATGAGCGCCAAATAATAATACATATTATTTGGAATGACTGTACGTTATAAGCAAAAGCTAATTAAAATTAAAATTTCTATATAACTGTCTTCGTTTACACATAATTACGCAATAGAATGCATTGTTATTGTACTAATAAATTGACGAATATGTTGTGTTTCATAAAACTTATTACAATGTAATTTATTTGATATCTGTAAAATTTTAGATTTTCTAAAAAATTAAAAGTATAAAAACATTGATAAATATGAAAACTTTTATCGATATAATTTAACTGAATTAATTTAAACTGAAAAAGAAATTAAATTTAATATAACTTTGACATAACCAAAGAACTATTTCAGACTTTCTCATTGAAATATAATTCTAATCCAAAAATTGTATCTGCAATTAGAATACGATAAATAATTTTCCAATCATTGAATCTAATTGCAGAGGAAAACTGAAATAATTTACACGATTCGTGTCTGGTTCATAATACTTTAAAGAAATTGAAAATAAAATAAAACATAGTAAATAATGTATAAAATGTTTCGTAAGATTCATTTCTGAGATAGATATTATTATACTTTGTATTCCAATAATTATTTTTCCTTTATTTAAAGAATTACAGTATAACACTGTCTTGTTGTTGAAATTATAAATCCACGTGAAATTAATTTGAAACGCAATATCGTAACATTAACTTCAAGTATTAGCAACAATCAACGCACGTAATAATAAGGTATACGAATATAGTTGGATAACATGTGCACTTAAACTTTACATTACATTTCACCTATAATATTAGCTACAATATTAAATTAATCGAGTAATATTCGTTAACTAAAATATTCTGGCCACACAATGATTTATCGAATGATTTGATGAGGAAATTAAATTAAAAAATAATATTTTCTTAGATATTAGAAATTATGTAATTAATTCGATTGAAATTTTAATCAATTTTAAAATTGAAGATCGATCACTTGAGAAAGTAGGCAAGTTGTTCGCTATAAATATCGAAAAATCTATCGAAAAATATTAAAGAGCAAATAATGATTTCCAGTTATCAGACTTTCTTTGCTTTGCCGCCCTATTTATTCGTGATTTCATTTGAAATTTAATAAATATCGCATCATTTACCCGTTAACTTTCTGTGTTACATTTTTGCTATAAAAGTTGCTTGAAACATATCCGTGCAGACGGCAGACAAAACATAATATTTTATTCGAAAAATTGATCAAAGAGTATCGAGCACTTTGCAAATAACGCATCAAATATTACAATAAAAGAAATAAATTTTACGCAACTAACTAATATATTTTATTATAATATTTCATCCAAATTCTTCCTTCTCAATTTTAAGAAAAATTATATTCTGTACGTTTAAACGATTTGAATTTCGAAATTGAAATTTCTTCTTTCAAAATTTTGACAATTCATTTGAATTCCATTTCACGTCGTACAACATCGATGATTTTAAATAGATGTCAGTTCCAACCAATTTTTCAAAGAAAAATTTTCATGCACGAGATATCAAAATTTGATATTACACGTAGTAATTAAATAGAAAGTACAAGTTGCTTGACCTCATTACTTAACATTTTATCCCTCTTTGACGTATCCAACATTGATAGAGAGAATCCTGGCAACGAGCCCATTCACCACGCTGCTGGAACTAACCACGCATACGTTGCAAACCTTTACTTTCAGATTATTCTCCGATACAACTATGTTGCACAACGCGCGCACATTTGGCATCCGTGCACGGAAATTAATAAAATTATTACATCCCCCTACAATGTGTTATCAATTCAATATCGCGAATCCTTCGATACTCTTTGACTTTATGAAAACAATTAATCTAATCGAACGATTTTTAAATTAAATTTCGTACACAAGAATCGTGTATTCTAATAATATAATTTCGCGTTCGATCCAGATTTCAATTAGAAAGTAGAAGAGCAATCGAGCGTGCCAATTAAAATCGTATTATTAAAAAGTACAAATTAAAAATCGATCATCATTAACCCACTTTGTTACACAATTATTATTCTTCTCGAGATTCTTTTTCCCCTCTCTCTCCCTCTCTCGTATATAAAACAATAATATATATCCAATCACCATTGAAACCGAAACGATATCGTACGTGAAATTGGGGAGGAAAAAAAAAAAAAAAAAAAGAAAAAGAAAAAAAAAGAAGAGGCGACACAAAAGACCCGGTAACCTGAATTTACGCGAGGCTTAATTCAAATTAAGGAAACGGCGACCCTCGTCGAAATAATTGTGACGGAAAGTACGAGCTGCTAATCTTCGCCAACGACGACGCATCCCCCTTTGACGTTGCAACACTATGATCAAAGGGAGTTCTATACACGCGCACGGATTATATCCGACCACGCAGTTTCCGATTCGCCTCGACGTTTTCTGTAGGGGGAGGGGAGGTACGTAGCCTCGTCATATTTACTTGATATTTGGATCATGAACGGACAACCGTGGCGATGAACGTGGCGTACAAATATATATATATATCGTAATCCCACGATTTGGAATTGCGGAATACACAATTCGACAGCATCTTTATTCAATTACCTCATCATTTATTCGTTCGTATTCGAATTCGTTTAATTCGATGCGACTTGGCTCAAGCGAGCGAAGTTTTTTGTTTTTGGTATTAAAAAAATTCGTCGAGCTTTCTTTCGAGTTTCGATCGAATTTCTGGTTTATTTTAAGCGCCTAGCTTTGTTTTAAAGTTTAGTTAAATTTGAATTATTCAAAAAAAAGAAAAAAGAAATGATATAATGCTTGAAATAATTCAATAGGAGAATTCCAATGGTTGTACGAGGCGTTCTACATACGGGACGTAAAAAAGAAAAAAGAAAAAAGAAAGAAAAGAGAAAAATTATAGCCAGATGCAACGATCCGATAAATTAATGCGAAATGCATCTATTTTCTCGTTCCGAACGATGCTATATGTATATATATATATATACATACACCTCTTTCTCCTGAATATGCACACATATCAATGAAGAGATTGTTGTCAATTGTCACACGTCGCATGCAATTGTGGTTAACCACGCACGTCCCCGGTTTGCCGGTGATTAGCTTGAACCAAGTTAGGTGAGAATTTAACTTGGGCGGTAGTGGCCGAAGAAGATTTTCACTCGACATGCGATCCTAACTGCGTTTCTATTTATCGTGGAAAATAACGCTCGCTTTAGAGATAGAATAAAACGTGAAAATACGAGGGACGAGCGATGAATAATGAAATGACCCATTTTGCACACGTGTTGAAAATACACGACGGGCGCTAAACCCGTGTTGTGTTTAATTTCATCGATGCGAATTAAAATGCGAAACTACTTTCGAAACTACCCCTTCCTTTCTTTCTCCGCTTCTTTCTTAATATTAAATCGAAAATCGCGTCCGAATCGACGTTTCTCCAGGAAACATGTCGTATACAACGCGCGATGAAACGCAAGCGTTCGACTCGACGGAACGGCCCAGCGAAGGTTTATCGCGGAAAATTGGAGTGCCGCGAAATAATTGGTCGATTAGGAACGATCGAAATTCTTGATAAAGGAACCGAACGATAGTGCCACGCGATAGAAATCGTTCAAAGGTTATTGCGTGCCACCCTGAACCGCTATATATATATATATATATATATATGTATGTATGTATATATAAAAGGTAAAAGGACTCACGAAACTACAACCGAGCAAATGATTTCAATACCATTGCGCCTCACGTGTTTTATCCCACTTTTAAAAGGAAAAGGAGGGGAAAAGATTGGAAATTAGCGGAGCAAAAATTGCACACCGTGTATGGGCGTGTTAATCACGTGGGGACGCGTATTTCAAAAGATCCACAAATTGATGACGGGGAAAACAAGAGCAACGAGTTTTTGTTCCTCGAATATCCATGCAACGTGTATCTATTATTCAAATAGACAGAAACGGAAGCAAAACTACGATCAAACTTACCCCCTCCCTCGTTAGGAACAAGTAGCATTAAGTAGACTTAAGATCGGTCGTACAAGACTAATACACTTTCGTTTAATCTGGAAACTAAACCGTTGAATATATATATATATATATATATATATATATAAAACAATCAAGTATTGTTTCATCCTGCAACTTTCCAAGTGCTGCAAACATCGAAATAAAACAGAAATTGCACGAGAACGTTTCACGCACGCTCGAGGAATCGTTCGATTCGTTTAATTCGAAAACTATTTGGAAGGAGGGACGCGACGCAAAGAGAATGAAAAATTAAT